ATTCTGTTTCCATGTTTAAACTCTTCTGATAAATGTTGTAATAACCATTTCTGTAAGCATGCTCTCACAAACTAGCATTTATCTCTGTGGGATAGATTCAAAAGAGTGTAATCATTGTGTTAAAGGGTATTTGTAGTTTTAATTTTAATAGAGCTCCATATTGCTTTCTCTAAAGGCCGAATTACATCAAATTTCTAGTAATGCATGGGAGTCCACCTTTCCCCACATCTACCAGTAATAAGTTCTGTAGCTCTATTCATTTTTTTTCCCCTGAGCTCATAGGTGAAATATGGTATCTCACTGTCACTTTAATGTGTATTTCCTGAGTACTAGTAGATTTGCACCTTTTATTAAGTAGCTATTGTCCATTGGGATTATTTTCTGTCAATTGTTGTTTTATATTTTACTAATCCCCCCATTCAATTGTGTGTTTGTGTGTGTGTGTGTGTGTGTATTTGCCACATGTGAATAAATGATAAAAGTTCTTTATATATTACAGAAAGTAGCTTTGTATTTAACTGATTTTATTTTGTTCAACTTTTGGTTATTGTATTTTGGTTACATTTTTTATGCAGTCAAATTTGGTAACTGCATAAAATGACAAAAAGACAGTAAAATTATCTATAATATCAACACCTTTCCCCCCATTTTTTGAAATAATAAGAGTCTCTCCCTTTGACCTCTGAATCCTATGCTTCAGAAAGAATTACAATAAATATTTTGGGATGTAGACTTCCAGTTTTTAATTCATGCATATAGAAATATACCTACGTCTTTATTGTGAAGAGATGATATTATGAAATACCAGCATTTTTTTTTGGCCCCTTCAATTCCTTAGTTTACCCACTCCCTCATTTCTTCTAAACATACACAAGTTTATAACAGCAATTACAGGTTTGAAAAGTACTTGCCCATTTATTTTTCCTTTGACTTCGGAAGAGAGAGAGTTACTTTTCCTGACCTGAGATTTAAACAAAAAGGATCAGAAAGGAAGTAAGATTATTAGGCTTGACTGTGGATCTTTGAGAAATTGGCCTTGAATTCTGGCTCCTTCCCTTTAGGTCAAAAACCCTTGTGAGGTGATAAAACCCTCAGATGTTTGGTGATTTGAGGACAGTGCATCAGCATCACCAGCAGAGGTGTGGGAACCACACACAAGCGGCAGTAATAGGAAGGCTCTCATCTCTCACATAAACAGCCCAATGGTTCCCGGTGGAGGGCAGCAGTGACTTAGGGAGGAAGAAGCCTCCCTGGATTGCTACTGCTTAGTGGGGCGAGGCTCTTACGGACACCAAGTTAGTGACAAAGGCCCCCCAATCAGTTTCCCAAGCAGTTGAGACCTTGGCTGCAGATACAGGAAGTCCTCAGTGTCATCAGTGGTTCTTGAAACTGCCACGGAACGATGTATAACTGATTTTATCACAGGCTAATTGATATAAACAACAGTTAAGTTCCTACAGCATCTCATTAACGTTATAACAAAACAATGTTGAATGAAACAAGCATTATTGGAGGGCTCACTGTATTTCTGAAGGAAATCAGAAAGGAGAAAACAACAAAGGCCAAATGATGGCCTGGGGCAGGCTTGTGTCCCTTCACCTGAGGCAGCTTTGGCAGGTGTTTAAAGGACTGTGGTCACACAGTAGCAAGTGGACACATGAACTAGTAATATTGCCCCATTTAAAGTCTCTGGACTAGTGGGCATATAGAAAGAAAAAATAGAAAATTATTGAACTTCACTAGCATTCAAAGAAATTAAGATCTAACCAATGAAATATACCACTCTTCCTGGTTCAAATAGGCAGACACTGAGCAAAGATCATATTCAATGCTTTCAAGAGCCAGCTATTATTTTATACTGTTGCTACATATTTACATTGGTATAACTTTTCTTTTTTTCCTGTTCATCAGATTTTTTATTCATTTTATTTTTAGATTCACTTGTTGAAAGATATGTATTTGTTGTTACTTGTTGTTCATAATTTTTTATCTTTACCTTTTTCTTCTTCCTCTTCCTTTTTTTAAATTAAATCTTTATTGTTCAGATTATTACAGTTGTTCCTCTTTTTCCCCCTCCCATAACTCCCCTCTACCCAGTTCCACCCCACCCCTTGCCCTTACCCAACCACCCCGCACTGTCCTCATCCATAGGTGTACGATTTTTGTCCAGTCTCTTCCCGCACCCCCCACATGCCTTTCCCCGCCGAGAATAGTCAGTCCACTCCCTTTCTATGCCCCTGATTCTATTATAATCACCAGTTCATTCTGTTCATCAGATTATTTATTCACTTGATTTTTAGATTCACCTGTTGATAAATGTGTATTTGTTGTTCATAATTTGTATCTTTACCTTTTTCGTCTTCTTCCTCTTCTTAAAGGATACCTTTCAGCATTTCATATAATCCTGGTTTGGTGGTGATGAACTCCTTTAGCTTTTCCTTATCTGTGAAGCTCTTTATCTGACCTTCAGTTCTGAATGATAGCTTTGCTGGATAAAGTAATCTTGGTTGTAGGTTCTTGGTATTCATCACTTTGAATATTTCTTGCCACTCCCTTCTGGCCTGCAAAGTTTCTGTTGAGAAATCAGCTGACAGTCATATGGGTACTCCCTTGTAGGTAACTGACTTTTTTTCTCTTGCTGTTTTTAAGATTCTCTCTTTGTCTTTTGCTCTTGGCATTTTAATTATGATGTGTCTTGGTGTGGTCCTCTTTGGATTCCTTTCGTTTGGGGTTCTCTGAATTTCCTGGACTTGTAAGTCCACTTCTTTCACCAGGTAGGGGAAGTTTTCTGTCATTATTTCTTCAAATAGGTTTTCAATATCTTGCTCTCTGTCATCTTCTGGCACCCCCATAATTCGGATGTTGGTATGCTTGAAGCTGTCCCAGAGGCTCCTTACACTATCTTCATATTTTTGGATTCTTTTTTCATTTTGCTTTTCTGGTTGGGTGTTTTTTGCTTCTTCATATTTCAGACCTTTGACTTGATTCTTGTGATCCTCTAGTCTGCTGTTGGAACTCTTTATAATATTCTTTATTACAGTCAGTGTATGCTTAATTTCTAGTTGGTCCTTTTTCATAACCTCGAGGGTCTCACTAGATTTCTTTAGGGTCTCACTAAGTTTATCGGCGGTTTCTAGAAAATTCTTGAGAAACCTTAAAAGTGGTTTTGAACTTCATATCCAGTAGTTTGCTTTCTTCCATTTCTGTCATTTGTGACCTGTTTCTTTGTCTACGCATTTTTTATGCTTCCCTGTGTTGATAGAGTGGCTTTGTGTGCTAGGTGTCCTATAGGGCCCAGTGGCTCAGCCTCCCCAATTACCTGAGGAGGACACTCTTGGTGCACCCCTTTGTGGGCTGTGTGCACAGTCTTGTTGTAGTTAAGCCTTGATTGTTGTAGGTATCACTGGGAGGAATTGACCTCTAGGCCAACTGGCTGTGAGAATCAGCTGTGTCTACAATGGGAGAACTTCTGTGCTGAAGACACCCTTCTGGGGCAAGACTTGCTTCAGTGGGGCTATGGTGCTCACTGAGTCTGCCCCCTGAGTGTGTCCCTTATGGATCTGAGGAGTTGTAATCTGGATGGTCCCACTCTGACCATTGGGTACACTGGCTCTTGGATCTCTAAGGAGGTGCTAATTTAGCCTCTTCCTGAGGCTACCCAGAAGGAGCCCAGCTGTGAAGCAATGCAAGCTGCTGTGGGGCCTTGGGCCTTCTTTTGGATGTTCTGGTTTCTCTGACCCAGCTGCAGTTTGTTAGGTAATTTTCAGATTGCAAAGGGCCAGGCCTTTCATATGCAAAAGCCTCTGTGCACAGCTTGGGTGGGGCGGCATCTCAGGGGATCAACAGGGTGGAGCAAGCAGCTATGGCTGCTCCTCAGTCCTGCCCTAAGAGGCCCTGCTTCTCAGTGTCCTGGTAATTGCTGTAAGCCCCTCTGAGAGAAAGCCGCCCTCAAGTTCCGACTGATGCCAGACAGTCCAGTTTCTTCCCGTATGAGTCTGGGTCCCCAGAGACTCGCCTGGAACTGGAGTTCAGAGCAGTTGGGAGCTTGAGACTCCCTCCCGATTGAAAAAGACAACTGCATCCTCAGCTGCCAGCCCTTTCCACATGTGCCGCATCCTCAGTTGCCAGCCCTTGCCGTGCGCCTCCGTACCTCTGCACTTTACTTCTGCACCTCCTCTGAGTCTCAGTGTGCTTTTCTCTATCCTTCTAGTTGTAGAATTTCCACTCAGCCAGCCTTCCTGTGGTTCTGGATGATGTCTGTTTTGTCTTTTAGTTGTATTTTTGAAGTGGTTGTGTGAGGCAGCAATTTCCGGTGTTTACCTATGCTGCCATCTTGGTTTCTTGGTATAACTTTTCTTGATGGTGATTTGAGAATATATAAAAAGAGTCTCATGTAATAATGCTATTGCTTGGAATTCAAGAAATTAATAATGAAGAAATACAAAGACTTATCTCCCCAGAGAAATTAATTACATTATTTTTCAGAGCAAAAATTAGAAATAACCTAAAAGGACCATAATAATATGATATTTTTAAATCGACCCAAGACATTATGCTCAATTAATATTTGACAAAGGATGCAAGAGCTTACAATGGAGTTAGGACATCCTCTCCAATAAACAGTGTTGGGAAAATTGGACAGATACGTGCAAAAAAATGAAACTAGACCACCAACCTACATCATACACAAGAATAAATTCAAAATGGATAAAAGACTTAGAGACAAGAAACCATAGAAATCTTAGAAGAAACCATAGGCAGCAAAATCTCAGACCTCTCTCATAGCAACATGTTTACAGATATATTTCATCGTGCAAAGGAAACTAAGGAGAAAATAAACAAATAGGACTACATTAAAATAAAAAGCTTCTGCACAGAAAAAGAAACCATCAACAAAATGAAAAGGGAGCCCACTGTATGGGAGAACATATTTGGCAATGATACATCTGATAATATCCAAAATGTATAAGGAACTCATACAACTTAACAAAAGGAAGACAGTGGTCACTTCAGCAGCACATATACTAAAAATTGGAACAATACAGAGAATATTAGCATGGCCCCTGCACAAGGATGGCATGCACATTCGTGAAGCATTCCATATTTAAACAACAATGCCAACAATAATAAAAGAAAGACAAACAATCCAGTTAAAAAATGGGCAAAGGACCTAAATAGACACTTCTCCAAAGGGGATATACAGATGGCCAAGAGACATATGAAAAAATGCTCAAAGTCATTGATCATCAAAGAGATGCAAATTAAAGTGACAATGAGGTATCACCTCACACCTGTCAGAATGGCTCCATCAACAATTAATAAAATGACAAGTGTTGTTGAGGATGTGGAGAAAAGGGAACCCTAGTACACTGCTGGTGGGCATGCACACTGGTGCAGCCATTATAGACAACAATATGGATTTTCCTCAAAAAATTAAATATGGAACTGCCATTTGACCCAGTGATCCCACTTCTAGGAATATATCCTAAGAACACCAATCAGAAAGAATGTATGCACCCCTGTGTTCATAGAAGCACGATTTACAATAGCCAAGGTCTGGAAACAGCCCAAGTGCCCATCAGTAGATGAGTGGATAAAAAAGCTGTGGTACATTTATACCATGGAATCCTATGCAGCAGTAAAAAAAGAAGGATTACTTACTTTTTGAGACAGCATGGAGGGACCTGGAGAATATTATGCTAAATGAAATAAGCCAGTCAGAGAATGATAAGTATCACATGATCTCTCATATGTGGAATCTAATGAACAAAATAAACTGATGAACAAAATAGATCTAGAGACATAGAAGCATGGAACAGACTGTGGAATCTCAGAGGGAAGGCAGGGGAGGGTGGGTCCGTTGGAAGAGATCAACAAAAGACCTTATATGCATACTAGAGGCCTGGTGCACGAATTCATGCATGGGTGGGGTCCCTCAGCTTAGCCAGTGATTGGAACCATAGGAGCTGGTGGCCGAGGGGGGGGGGGTTTGTGGGGGAGGGACCGCAGGAGGTTGGCCGTCCCTGATCAGAGCTATTGGGGCTGGTTGGCCAGGGGGCAGGCGAGGCACCGCAGGAGGTTGGCCGGCCAGAGGGAGGGATCACGGGAGGTTGGCTATGGGAGCACACTGACCACCAGGGGACAGCTCCTGCATTGAGCATCTGCCCCCTGGTGATCAGTGGTGTCATAGTGACAGGTCGACCAGTCGTTTAGTCGTTCGGTTGTTCAGTCACTTAGGCTTTTATATATATATATAGATACTTAGGCTTTTATATATATATAGATATGCATAGCCCATGGACACAGACAATAGGGTGGTGAAGGCCTGGGGCAGGGGTCAGGGGGCAGGCTAGAAGGGGTCAATGGGGGGAAAAAGGAGGATTTATGTAATACTTTCAACAATAAATATTAAAAAGAAAAAAGAAGTGATACCACTCTCTACTCCTGTGAGTAGAGTATAATGGTTTCCATTGTTTGATGTCTTTGCTATTAGTGAAATTAAAAAGTTGTTAAATAAAAAAGACATAATAATAAATATGATATTTTCCTTTTACATTTCCTCATAGTTTCAGAACTTATTCTAATAAGCATATTTATTTTATAGAGAAAAATAATAATTAAAAAATTAAAAAATCATCAAGCAGTTCAGGTGTTAATATAAAAGTGCAATTAAATATGGTCACTTATGAATCACACGGCCGTGACCTGAATGACTAATGTATGTCCACTGCCAATACAAGATGAAAACACTGTTCTTCAGGACATTGCAGTATTTGTTTAGAAGGACATGTCATATAATACATTTAATTTTAGTAATCACAACAACATTGGAGAAATTTTTTACCCACCCAATTTTCCATCCACAAAATTGCCCCATATTAACTGTCTAGAACATTCAGATGCAACCAAAAAATGTTGTTTCTTTTCTAATAGATTTAGAAAATGTTTTTGGATCTCACATGAACTTTCTACATTCAAAAAATTTTTTTTGTTGATTTCAGAAAGGAAGGGAGAGGGAGAGATAGAAACATCAATGATAAGAGAGAAGCATTGATTGGTTGCCTTCTGCATGCCCCACACTGGCGATTGACTCCACAACTCGGGCATATTCCCTGACTAGGAATCAAACCGTGACCTCCTGGTTCATAGGTCGATGCTCAAAAATTCTGGTTGGGTTCTACATTTAAAGAAAACAAAAAAATTAGTTATAATCTTATGAAAAGAGTAGAGGAAGGACTGAGAGAGGGAGAACCTAACTTGATATTTAAAAGAAACATAAATAGGAGAAGGACTTGTAAGGAGTATAGTTATTTTAATTATCTTGATTTTTACTTTAAAAATCATGATAGGTTCTGATCCTAAAATGGCATATAATTATTTGTATTTCATAGGAATAATACCTTAATAAATTATCTGAGTAAAGCTACTTATAATGTTGTCACACTTAATAAAAGTATTCACAAATCTTTGTCATTTTTCAGTTCATTCCTAAATGTTTCTCAAATCCTCTTCCCTCTTTCCATTTTTTCCATTTCCACTAGTCCAGGCTACCATTATCTTATTTGATCAGCTACCATAGCTCTAAGTGGTTTCTGTGCACTCACTGGATACCATCATGAATTCCTTCTTTGCGATGCATACAGACTGGTGCTTTTAACTAACAAATCCAATCAATTCAACTTCATGCTCAAAATTCTTAAATCATTTACCTTACTCTGAAGATATAGGCAGAATCGATCGACATGACCTATCAGGCCCAACATCTCTACACTTTTTGTTGTTCTCTCTCCTCTTTGGCCACGGGTCTTGTTTAAGTTTCCTCATACTCACCATGCTCCCTCCTATTACTGGGCCTTGGCACATGCTGATTCCTTTGTATAGAACCCTCTTCCATTCATCTTTCAGATTTCATTCAAATGTTACCCCCCTCACCCACCCCAGCCTCCTTCAGAAACTTTCATCACACATATCCTTCTGGTTTATTGTGCTCCTTATTGTTGTAACCTTACTTTTGTTTGCAATTAATTCCTATCTTTACAGACTGCAAGTTCCATAAGGGCAAAGCCCACTAGTTTTGTGACTATGGACAAATTACTTGATGCCAGAGAAAGGTTCTTTTAGCTTAATTTTCCTTGTGAGCAGAAGGTCTTATTTTATAGCCTTCCTTGTAATTAGTTGTGACTGAGTTTTGGGAGTTGAATATGAGTGAAAGTGATGTGATCTGTTAATCTTATAAGACAGATAGTGTCTGAATCCCAGTATGACCACATGGAAGATTGCTCAACTAATATGCTTGAATTGGACTGTGATGTGAGATAAACACAAACTTTCATCATGTTAAACTATGGGGATTTGCGGTTTGTTTATCAGAGCAGATGATACTAGTATATATTTGTTGATATTTCTTTCAGAAAAATAGGTACAAATAATGTTTATTGTATAGGGCCGTGGTCGGCAAACCCTGGCTCGTGAACCACATGTGGCTCTTTGGCCCCTTGAGTGTGGCTCTTTCACAAAATACCACGTGCGGGCGCACACGTACAGTGTGATTGAAACTTTTTGGCCCATGCTAAGAAGTCGGTATTTTGTGGAAGAGCCGGTATGTTGTGGAAGAGCTATGCTCAAGGGTCCAAAGAGCCGCATGTGGCTCGCGAGCCGCGGTTTGCCGACCACTTGTATAGGGCTATGGACAAAAGGGGCCACATGCTAACCATACAAGCTCAGGGAAGGCCTGCATGGAAGTCTAAAGTAACCATAAGGATGGTCTGAAATTTAAACTTTAACTAAAAACAGTTACAGTGGGTAGTCATGTCCTAGGCAGGTATCTTCCCTGACAAAGTCAATCTTTACCTTAAAGGAGTCTACTGCCATTTTGTCTAAGATAACATATCCTTGAAATGTCAGGGTAACTTGTAACTTCCCTTTTTTCCAGACCCCCCAGGGCACAACCAAATGCCCTGGGTGCCAGGACAGATACCACAATTCCTCCATTGTTATTGTCATCATGTTAATTGTTGGCTGTTAACTATCCTGTACCCACCTAAGTAAAAGAAGTGTCTATCGTTTTACTCTTTATCTAATCCCAGAGGATTCCTTGCTTTACTTTCTCCTGCCTCCCTAATCTATTACCAATGGATTTCATGTAACCCACCTACGTCTCCTCCTTTGATTATAATGTATAAAAATAACTTAAAAACCCGACATTCTCCAGAGCATTATGCCAATCCGTTGAGATTCTGCTTCCCAGCAATTGTCAAATAAACTCACAAAAATTCTTTACAGGCTTGAATGTTTTTGTGTTAACAGGGCTTTTCTGGAAATTAAAATAATGTGAGCACAATGCTTTGCATATGGTAATTATTCAACAGATATTATCATCATTGTCATTTTTATCATTTTATTTTAACTCTTTCCTGCTGCCTGGAAAATGCATTTCGCTTTCTCTTTTGTTATTTCTTACTTTCATAGTGAGAGTAGTTTTTGGTAGAACTGGAATACCTCCTTGTTCATTAGAACTGTTAACAGCATTCCTATAGTTTTTAAGGGATTTTAAGGGACTTCTCTTTGACAGAGCCCACGAAGGAGGTTTCAATGATGACAGAAGTTTGATTCTTCAAATAATCACTCCCCCTCCCGGCCCCCCATTCTGCAAAATAGATATTTCCTTCTTTATATAATTTCTAAGTGAGTTCTGGTTTGGAATTAAGGGTCACAAAAGGATGAGTTAATTTTCCATGGAAACATAACCAAGTGGTATTAAAGCTTGAGAACAGCTACAGAGGAAAGCCACTTTTCATAACATTTAACAAGAATATTTGGGTTACACTGGCCTTGTGCCTTGTTTCTTTTTCTGCCTAGAGATTTAACTTTTCCATTGTTCTATTATGTGAACATTCCTGAAATCTCACTTGGGTTTTTGAACTCTATGTGTATTTTACTTTGTCTCGCAAGCAAACCTGAACTGTCAGGATTTATCCACCACGCTTTTTTTTTCCTCTCCCAGTGACTGATAGTCAAGAATGTGAGCAGAGTAAATAAACACTCCACCTATTGAATCTTATTTGCAGATTATGCTTGCCTTCTGCACCTGGAAACACATCATTCCAAA